AATGGGTATTCTTTCTTAGTGACCAAAGAAAGTTTTCAACAAATTCAATTCATTTATCAAGAGGGCCAAAAATGAGTTTGAGTTTAATATAAAAAAAGTAAGAAGTGACAATTGTAGTGAGTTCAAGAATGCAAGAGTTGATGAGCTTTGTGATGATTTGGGAATCAAGCATGAGTTCTTGGCCAAGTACACACCACACTCAAGTGGCCTAGTTGAGAGGAAGATTATGTCATTGATTGATATGGTTAGATTAATGCTAAGTGAATACAATGTGAGTGATAGCTTTTGGGTCAAAGCAATCAATAACATGGTTTGTCATGCTAGCAATAGACTCTATTGTCACCGTATCTTGAAGAAGACCCTTATGAGTTGTTGATTGGAAGAAAGCCAAATATCTCATATTTTTGTCTTTGGTTGCAGGTTCCATATTTTGAAGAAGGGCACAAGATTAAGCAAATTTGAGAGGAAGTGTGATGAAGGGTTCTTGCTTGGATATGCAACAAATAGCAAAGCTTGTAGAGTGTACAACAAGTCCTATGACATTGTAGAGGAGGTTCATGATGTGGAGTGGGTTCATAAGTTGAGGATAACAATCTTGATGATGTTAGAGGTGTAAATTTGCAAGAGTCAATGAAGAACAAGGCTATTAGTGATTTTAACCTAGAGTGCTTGAGGAAGAGGAAGATGATTCAATTAGAGTGATCGCTCCAACTTCAACCATCAGTAATCTAGACATGCCTAGCGCAAGTGGTACTCATGATGAAGGTCAAGTTCAAGTGCTAGATCAAGTGCCAACTCCAAATCCAATTGTTCAACCATCAAGTTCACAGCCAACAAGCTCAAGTTTGATGCAGAGTGATCCCCACCTGAGACACTGATCATTTCCTACTTTCACACTATCTAAGACTTTGATTAAGGACAGCTATGGTAATTACCAAGGTGGTCCCCCATGGTTTGATACAGATGCAATGATGATGGTCGTTCTTTGTAGGCGTGCCAACATGGATCCCTACTCTCTCCTAGCTGGCGTGCTAGCAAGGATCCCTATTGAATATTGTGGGAGTCTTACCACCATTTTTATCGAGCTTTTTTGCAAAAACCCATAGAGGAATGCCAAAATACATTTGGATCTTCTTTACTAATATATCTCTCCCCAAGTCTTTTTACCTCTTGGCCGCATCCATCACTCTCCCCCAAATCATAACATAAGAATCCTAGCCTATGCTTCTTGGCCAATTAACTGTCCCTGTCTCAATCTACCAACCCCTTTCGGCGGAATCCTTGTGACCACGAAATCTTGAAATTTTCCCATCAGCATATGCCCACAGGTGCCTAAATCCCAAAAGAAAGCACCATGGTATACCTCTGCTAAAAAATCATCCTCATTGTCATCTACACATACAAAAACCGCAACAAGAACACAATATTATTGTCCACTCTTAAACTGACTTGCACTTAGAACCACAAATCCTTCCGGTTCCATGCCAAGTTTCCTAATTCTAGGCCACAAAAATCAAACCTTCCTACAATCTAAACCCAAATCAATAAAACAAAGTATTCCTCTATCAAACCCGAGTACATAAGCTAGTGTTTTATGAACTCACCATACTTAGGTGGTGGATATTTCTTATGCCGCAGTCTTAAACGGCACTAAATGGCTAGAGGGGGCTCAATAGCCTATAAAAATTTCACTACAAATTCACTAGAGCAAAAGGTTAGTACACTAAATTGCGAAATGCAATTTTGCTTTAGCTCTACAAGGGTTGCAAGCCACCTACATTAACAATTCTAGTTGCTATGGTCACTATTCACACAAATTGCTATGTCACTACTTAGCTACACTAGTGAGCTAGCTAACCAACTAGTTTACCAACTAAGCTAAGCTACTCAACTAGCTCTACACAAGATATCTCTAGGGATGTAAATACAAGATATAGAGAGGGTATACCACACGTGGCAAGAGATGATCAATCAATCAATAAGCACCGAATGAATACCGAGAGAATACCAATGGAGATAAGAGACACATTTTTTTCTCCTAAGGTTCACGTGCTTGCTGGCATGCTAGTCCCCGTTATGTCAACCACACACCTGGTGGTTCACGAGCTAATTGGAACCACACTAAGCCCTTCACTAGGGCGCCACAAGAACCTACCCAAAGTGAGGGTAACTCAATGACACGAGCAATTTACTAGAGTACCTTTTGGCTCTTCGCTGAGAGAAGGTCAAGAACCCGCACAACTCACTGGGAGATGGCCACGAACAATCACCAACTCATGCCAATGCTCCTTCGCTGCTTCAAGTCGTCTAGGTGGCGGCAACCACCAAGAGTAACAAGAAAACCGCAACCACCAAGAGTAACAAGTGCCACTAGATGTAATCACTCAAGCGAATGCACTTTGGATCACTCCTAATCCCACTATGATGATGAATCAATGGAGAAGATGAGTGGGAGGTGTTTGTTTCAGCTCACAAGGATGTATCACTAATGAAAATGTGCAAGGGAGTGAGCTAGAGCCAGCCCAAGTCTATTTATAGAAACCCCTTGCTCAAATAGCCGTTGGGCACTCGCAGACATGACCGGACTCACCGACCGGACTCTGAGTAGGGTCCAATCGGCAAGGTCCGGTTGCCTAATGCCATCCATGTGTCCTTGTTTTAAACCACGTCCATTGGATTCCAACGGTCACTTAAGTTAGGTGCGTTTGAAACCTCCGGACCGGACCCAGACACCAGGGTCCAGTCGCACCGCGGCCACAAGGTCTGAACAATTCTAGAAAGGTTCCCGAGCATGTTTTTATGACCGGACCGAGTCCGGTCCTGATGACCGGACACAGGCCAGGGTGTGGTCCTCATCAATGTTCACACCTGCACGCTAAGTCACGATGACCAAACTCACTAGCGTCGGGTCTGGTCCAATCGAGTCACACAGGGTTTGATCGCATCCAGAATCACACCGAGAACTCCTAGACCCCTCGAACTAGGTCCGGTCACCCATGACCAGACGCACCCTTAGGGTCCGGTCCTTGCCAGCTCGCCACCAATGCCGCCTAATCGGACTCTGAGCGTCAGGTCCAGTCATGCCACTTCGTCGGGTCTAGAGCCAACTCAACACTCTCGACCTAGGGTCAACCTCTGGACCGGACTCAGCATATCAGGGTCCGGTCCTGGCCAAGCCAGGGTCTGATTCCTGACCTTCACCTCCTTTTCATTTTTTATCTGTTCAATCACTTCACGCTTGCTTCCAAGTTGCTAATCACAAAGTGTATAACCCATGTGCACGTTTTTAAGCATTTTCAAGGGTTAATTGTTAACACACCAGGTCCTAGTGCATATGCAAGTATGAATTCACCTAGGGTTAATAGTACGGTTATCGATCCTAAATACACTCACACCCTCTATGGTGTCTTAAGTGCTAAAACAAAAAACCTATTTGATACATTTGCCTTGATCACTTTGGTTTTTGTTTTTCTCTTTCTTGATTTTCAAGTTGGAGCACTTGATCTTCACTTTTGGGCCCCGTTCGCTTCGTTGATAAAACAAGCCGAAACACTGTTCCGGCTGATTTGTTGTGTGAGAAAAATATTGTTCCGGCTGAAAAACAAGCTGAAAAGTACGGATTATAAGAGAAGCGAACAAGGCCTTGGTCACCACCATCACCATGACCATCATCTAGCTCTATCACTTGGTGTGTACCACCCTATCTCAATCACAACACTTAATGACAAAGATTAGTACACTTAGATTTCATCAATTAGTCAAAATCAAACTAGGGCTTTCAAGTCTCGAGGCCATCATTGACCGTTGTAGCCACCTCCCACTTCTCTTGCCTCCGTCAACCTTTTCTCGCAATAGGACGTCATTGGCAGCTGATTAGCTACACCCCCAACGATCAACTTGTTCCCACTGTACAAGAAAAGTGGAATGATAGAGAGGGAAGTAGAAAGGAGGAAACGTTGAGGCAGGCGCCTCAGCAAACTGAAAGCGCTAGATCCAGTAGGGATCCTTGTTGGTACGCCAGCTAGGATAGTGGATAGGATTTGCACCCGTTTAGACCAGTAATGGCACTTGATACAAGTTATTGTACTTAAAAATAAATAAAAGAAATTTGAGACTTAGGTGACATCTCGACGCAAGTTTAGGGACCGCTACTATATTTTACTCTCTCCGTCCCATCACATAATAAGTGCAAATATCACACTTTAAAAAATTTAACAATATCAAATTTAACTAGATTTATAAAAATACTACTCCATCCGTTACAAATTGTAAGTCGCTTTGATTTTTTTGGTTCATCTATTTTTCTATGTATCTAGACATATTATTATATTTAGATGTATAGTAAAATGGGTGTAAAAAAAAAGTCAAAGCGGTTCATAATTTGGAACGGATGGAGTATTATTTATATCTTTAAATCGGATTATCATGTGTGATGTGATTAATGTAATGATTGCTATTTGATATCATAAGCATAAGTATTTTTATATATTGGTTAAGTTTAAGAATGATTAATAATTTATTGAAGTGCGAGATTTATTTTGGGCCTAAGAGACTATTTTTTAAACTTAGGATTGATTGTAAGTGATATTTATTTATATTTATTTATTTTTGACAGAGAGAGTATGAAACGAGTTCCCTTTGCCTTGTGCCCTTTGTCACTCTTCCTCTGTAACGAGTTTCTCCCTTTCCTGCCGCACCACGCAATCACCGCGGCGGAGACTGCCGGCGAGCACTTAGGCCTCTCCGTCCACCGCCTGCCTCGTTGTGGTTAGTTTCCCTCGCCTTCCCCTTGGCCCTTACCTCCCTGCCATATTCCTTCCCCCGATCTGTCAGTTCCACCAGCTGGAGGCGATCCCAATCTCAGATCCGACTAGCGACTCACCCAGCGCAATCTCCCGGCAGGCTCCCCGGTGACTCCCGCGATTGGTTACCTGCTGGCGCTGCCGCACACTGCTCGAGAGGAGTAGCGCCGCCCCTGGTTGCGGGTTGGGGCGTCAAGGATGAGCGGGAGGAAGAATGCGGGCAAGGTTTCCCCCTGGTTGCTCGTCCTCATCTCTTTAGGATGCTTCTTTGTGACCTACAACCTCCTGACGATGCACGGCCGGGGACGGGATGGGCCGCGCAAGTTCCTCGGCGGCGGCGAGGATCGCGACTCAACGGGCTCTGGTTCGGACCCCGCGAAGCGGTTCCACGTCGCGCTTACGGCGACGGACGCACTGTACAGTCAGTGGCAGTCGCGGATAATGCACTACTGGTACAAGGAGATGAGGGACCGACCTGGTTCCGACATGGGTGGCTTCACTAGGATCCTTCACTCGGGGAAGCCTGATGGATTGATGGATGAGATGCCCACCATGGTGGTTGACCCCCTTCCTGAAGGCAAGGATAAGGTGAGGTTTTGGTTGTTCCTTTTGTGGTGTTTGTTTTCAGTTTATGATGATACCACCTTCTGCTCATGCTGATATGATGATTTATCCAGGGATATATTGTCTTAAATAGGCCTTGGGCGTTTGTCCAGTGGGTCCAGAGAGCAAAGATCGAAGAAGAGTAAGTATATTTCCTTTTTTTCTCATTATGGTTGAAGGATTTGTATGTTCTCATAATGGAAATATTTGCAGGTATATACTAATGGCAGAGCCAGATCATGTCTTTGTGAAGCCTTTGCCAAACTTAGCGCATGGTGATGAACCAGCAGCATTTCCATTTTTCTACATCAAACCAACTGAGAATGAGAAGATATTGAGGAAGTTTTTTCCAGAAGAAAAAGGGCCTGTTTCAAATATTGATCCAATTGGCAACTCTCCAGTTATAATCAAGAAGGTATCTAATTATCAATAGAATATTGATCTAGTTATGGTGGTTGCCAAAATAGCATATGTGCCCATGACATTGTTCTTCTTGGTTTCTGTTATTTTATTTGTTCTGCACATGTAGATACTGATTTTGTTTTAATGAAATCCATCAATGCTGATCCAATCTGTTTACCTGTCATGTCAATCTTGACTAACCTATTATGGATGCCTTCACAAACATCTTTAGGCTCAGCTTGAGAAGATTGCTCCAACCTGGATGAATGTTTCATTGAAAATGAAAGAGGATCAGGAGACAGACAAAGCATTCGGATGGGTCTTGGAAATGTCAGTATAAAATTTTTCTCTGCTTTTATTTATTCTCTTCAACATGTGATTCCTATTAATTTCTCTTTCCCTTTCATATTTGCAGGTATGCATACGCTGTTGCTAGTGCACTGCACGGTGTGCGTCATAGTCTCCGTAAAGACTTTATGATTCAGGTGCTTAGAAGTCTTGTCACTAGATACAGATAGATCATCTCATAGTGGGGTGATGGCAGTTTATTTCACTTAAGATGTGCTTGATGATGATTGCAGCCTCCTTGGGACCTGAAAACGGACAACACATTCATCATCCATTATACATATGGATGCGATTATTCAATGAAGGTGATAATACTTCAACTTTAAGCATCTATTAAATATTCAACCATGCTGATGCTCTCTATTGCTCTGTAAAATACTAAAATATATCGATCTACATCAGAGAAAGATGATATGCTTATGCTATTTTTTGTGCTAACTCAGGGTCAGCTAACTTATGGGAAAATTGGTGAATGGCGTTTTGACAAAAGATCTTACCTTCAATCACCACCACCAAGAAATCTTTCACTGCCCCCTCCAGGAGTTCCTGAAAGTGTGGTATGTGCATAATATTTGTAATATTGGGGATGCATGTAGCTCTTTTGCTTCTATAGATGATTGGCTTTTTCATGTTTATATGAAAATTCTGAACTGCTTGTTGAATATATAGAAATTTGTCTCAAGTGTTGCACTAGGTCACATTAATTTGCTGTCCTTGCTTATTTTACCCTACCCCCCCTCCATCTGTTGAAAAAAACGGCTGAAATGTAGAATATTGATATTAGCGGTCTTGTTCCTGTATGGCGTATATTCTATATATTGTTGGAGATTCATTGTAAACTGTTGGTCACATTTAGGCTAGGTGATCCATCTACCTCATGAAATTTATGTTGCCTCCTATTCATCTGCACCCTTGTGTTTGAGTTCATTTTTACTAAGGGCGAGAAAGGTCCTTTTTCATAGATTATTGCTTGTTGAATTTGAATGAACCAGAATCACGCAGTTTATATCTAAAGATCATTTGTGATAATTTTTTTTATCACCTGATGTTCTAACCTATTTTTGTCATGAATATTAGAAAACTATCGTTTGTTAGCTTAAGCTTTGTGATCATATTGATATCTACAACTGATTGATCCTCAATGATATGCATTTTCAATCATCAGTATATATATTCATGCTATGGTAATATGAGTTCAGCACCAAAAGCTTTAGGATGATTACTATGCTTTATCTTTTGGTCAGAAAGGGTAACATGTGTGCTCGTATTCTAATACAATTGTGATGCATCTGACATTCTGACCAGACATGTTAAGAACCAGACTGAAATCCCAATAAATTTGAAAGTAGGTGCATACTGTTTTTCTGCCTTAAGAAAGGAAAAAATTGTCATACTCTTCTTTTCTTACATTAGATTCTCGGGGAATGTTTTGAATGATGAGGGGAGTGCCTCTGCATAACCTTTGTAGAATTGCTTTGCTTGCCAAATCTTCAATTGTTGATTATTGCAACATATTAAAAACTCTGAAAGAGCAGGTCATCCCAGTTGCGCATATGTTAAATATATAGCTCTTAAATTTGCCTTGTTATTCTTTTCTAGACAAGTATTATCCAACTGGGCCAATACACTGTTGAAATGTTATTGTTTTTTATCATCCAGAGCTGCTGCCATTTTTGCTGGCAATCCATGCAGCAATGGAGTGGACACTTGAGGAAGCTCAAATGGCATCACAATTTCATTGCAAATTCTAGGGTGAACTTACGGGGTTTATGTTGAACAGTTTCTGTCCTTATAATTGTTCCATACTCTATAGCCTTAATGTGTTTGAATCGATATAATTGAAAATCAGGATTTACCACTGGTGGTACGCCATTTCCATTTAATTGACCGTTTATCCTGTTTAAACGGTCGTTTTGCCCACTTAAGTGTCCGTTTAGCCCAAATAATGGCTAAACGGCAAGTAACCGACTGTTTACCATTTAGCGTTTAGGGTAACATTGGGATTTTACTGATGAGGACATCCTATATTTGTATTATAATCTGAATTTTTTTTCAGGTCACTCTTGTGAAGATGGTTAATGAGGCGACCGCAAACATTCCGGGGTGGGAGGATGAGAGATGATTGATGGTTTGCCTGAGTTGTAGTTTATTCCAGCACCCAGCTGGTATGGTTTTGTTCAAAAACATGGAGGAATATCATTAGTCAATAAAAGCAGAGGATTCAATTAATATCAATATCTGAAGTGTAGGACTGTGGCCAAGTTTCTACAGTTTAACATAGATTAGTGTCCGGGAAGAAAAAAAATATATCCACGTTGATCTAGGAGTTTGATCATTTTTGTATTTTAAAGGAGAAATATAGGCTTTTGGTTACTCTGGTTCATTTAGCTGTGTTGTAAAGCAGTGATGTAGTTTAGAATCCTCCAAACCATGCCTTGAGAGGTTTGTTAGCGGTATTCATCTTGGGAAACCTTCTGCCGGGTAGTGACAACATCCTGCTGAGTACTATGACTGGAAACCACCAAAGCTTTCAGAAATAATCCAAATACTTGGACCTGCAGTTGCATACAGATAGGTGTAATATGGTTTACTTTTGAACCTATGTTTTAGTTTGTTGTGTAACATTATTTTGCAGTGGTCAGAATACAAATGTTGTCTCAAGGTGAGCCTTTGTGCACTTGGAGCACTGTATACTCCTCTCATTCATCAATGTGTGCCACAATTGTCTGATACTCCGTAGAAAGTATTATTTCGCCCATCTTGATTATACTTTCTTAGCAGGACTGACTTATGTGTGTCTGGAGCGCGTCGCGGCGTAAGTGTGGCATGTGAGTTTTGTGTGCGTTGTCTTTCACCCCATAATAAGAGGAGCACATATACCAAATGTCGACTACTTTGATTTGTGTGCTACACCATGGCCTAGAGTAATAGTGACGTATCATATCATGTGTAACATCCTCAAAATATTAGAGGCATAAGGCAATTAAAAAATTAATTTTGCTTGATTATACTTGTACATATTATTGAGTTATTATTTCTTTTGAAAAAAAAAATCATTGCATGGCATATCATGTTCTGTTGGTGGGGGGGGGGTGTTTAAACCCCGGATACCCACGGCGGACCACATGGGCTGCGCCCCCAGGGGTGGCCCAGCCCACAAGATGAAGCCTTGCGGGGTATAACGTTGCTCGGCGTTTCCCGTAAGATATCGGAAAGATATCCTAAAGATACTACGAGATCTGTTAGGATATGTATGATCCCATGATTCCTGTAATCTGTTATTACTTTTCGATTATCTCTTAAATCTAACCGACTTGTAACACTGCCCCCCGGACTATATAAGACGGGCAGGGACCCCTTCCAAACACACGCAATATCATACGATAGCCAATATAATCCAACAAACCATAGGAGTAGGGTATTACGTCATACTGACGGTCTGAACCTGTCTAACTCGTGTGTCTCGTTGTCTTCTTGTTCTCGATTACACGCATCTCTGCCGATCAATCTACCTTCGTGGGATACCCCTCGGAGGACTGTCGACGATATTCTGTCGACAGTTGGCGCGCCAGGTAGGGGTGTGCGTGCTGTTTCCATGTCAAACAAGATGGTACGTTCTGCAAGCTCTTCGTCCCTCCCACAGCTCGGCCAGATCTTTATGGTCGGATCGATCTCGTGGATCATCAACGCTGATGGAGTCGGAGAGCTCATCGAGCCGGTGCAGATCAATACTGCGCCGATCACCCCAACACCTGCGACTACAGATCTGATCTCAGAACCACCTCCGAGGTCGTCTTCTCCGACAATTCGTCGCCTGCTCCCCCGCTACCAGAGGAGGCAAGTTAACAACGACGATCTGATCGCATCCATCGATCAGGTTGGCTAGAAGCTCGCCGATTGCCTCTCTATCGCGGAATCGGCTCTGACCACTTTGGTTCAGCACCGACCACCCTTCGGTTCAGATCTATCGGAGGAAACTCCAAGGGTTACGACCCTACCCTTTGGGCTCACCAACGTCGCCGCCACTTATCAAGATGCCCTAAGGGGCAAATTCGCCGACCAGGTCGGAGAGGTCCATCCTCTCGTCGACCAGATCGCCGACCAGCTCCCGCCGGCTGTCAACATGCTACACGTCGGCCGACGCCCCGGAGCATCCCTCCAAACCATCCTGGAGGAGAATCCGGACTCTGAGTCCCAGGGCTCTATGGAGACTGTCGCCGAAACCACCGCTGAGCAACCTCCCTTCCCTCCCTTCCGTGGAGGCGCAATCTTCAACGTCAGCGTCCACAGCTCTCTGCGGGAAGGGGAAACCGAGAAGGACCGCGCCGCTCGCGTCAACAGGAACATCAATCGTGCTTAGCGCCGAGCAAACGAGGCTGCCCTTGTGCTAGCCGAGGCTCAGCTCGACTTGCAAGGAAGGCCACGCCAACTCCAACGCAACCTCGACGATGAATTTGTCCATGTTGACGGCCACGACGTCTACAAGACCCCAAGTGCCAACTTGGTCGTGGCCGCCAACAAGCTCGCCTGGCTCTCGCAGACACCGGAGGTCGCCAGGGTCACCGCCATGCTTAAAGCGGCGCACTGCCAAGTCAACGACATCCGCCAGGATTAGAGACCTTCATACTCCACGAGCTTGATTCGCCGATCAGCTACGCCAAGATCCAATCGCCGCCCCAGCCAAAGTTGTTTTGCTGACCAGCACCACGATGATGGACAACCCCTCTAGGGAGAGCTAGGGGCAACTGCATCGAACACCCTCGCTAACACGACTAGGAGGTCGACCAGGACGTCCGAGTGCACCTCAACAATCTCCGAGACGCGCGACGACGTATCGACGAACGCCGTTTCGGTCGCCATGAAGAAGTATGCTGCCGTCAAGAATACGAGCAAGAGTTCGATGATCCGGACTCAGCCCTCCAGCCACTCAACGTCGCAACGCCGCAGATCACGACGGCGACAATCCCGAAGGGCCTCCAGCATTCACGAGGGCACTCCGAACACTTTAGTGGCCCCATGGTTTCAAAATCACTGGGGTTGAGCCCTATGAAGGATGGGTGAACCCCACACAGTGGCTACAAGCCTATACCACTGCTGTGCGCGCCGTCAAGGGAGATACCAGCGTCATGGCGAACTATCTTCCCGTCATGCTTACGCCAACTGCAATGAACTAGTTTACAAGCCTCGCCCCAGGCTCCATCGGATCCTAGGAAGAGTTGGAGAATGTCTTCACCGACAACTACATGGCTACGTGTACTCGGCCAGGCACCAAGCATGATCTAAACCGCACCTACAAGAAGTCGTTCGAGCTCCTCCGTAGCTATATCAGACGCTTTTCTGAGATGAGGAATTCTATTCCCAACATCATGGAAGATGAGGTCATCACCGCCTTTGTCCGAGGACTCCATCACCGTGGCCTCCACTCCAAGTTCAACCGCAAGCCACCCACGGGGATTGACGAGATGATTACGACCGCCACCCAGTACGCCGATGCCGAAGAAGTTGAAGTACGCTTCAACGAGGACGCGGATACTCATCGCCCAACTCGACGCAACGACGAGCGACCCGACGACCGATGCCATAGCGACCGCCGCTACAACGACCGTAGTCACCATCAAGACAGCGGCCGTGATCGCCCGGAAGGATCTAGATCTGGTCAATATCGCCGCCGCCGACCAGACCACATTGCCACCGCCGTTGATGAACCTCACGCCAAGCGCAACTATGACGAGCAGTACAAGAAGATCCTCGAAGGCCCGCGCCCTCTTCATAAAAATGCCAAGCATAAGATGAAGCACTGCCTCGGCTTGGCTAAGGAGTTCCAGGCCAAAAAGTCGAACGACAACAACAATGATGGAGCTGGAGGCAGCCAACCACCTGGGGGCAACAACAATGCCTTCTAGGATCACGACAAGGTGGTCGCCACCATCTTCGGTGGCCTCGCCTCCGCCAAGAGCAGAAGAGATCGAAAGCTCACCGCACGCCGGGTGCTCGCTGTCAATGCGGAAGACGCCATCGCCAACCCTAGCTATCGCCCTGGTCTGAGGTCCCCATCACCTTCAGTAGGGCCGATCAGTGGGTGGACATCCCTTACACAGGGCGCTTCCCCTCGTCCTTGACGCAACCGTCCAAAAAGTGCTGTTTTAGAAAAGTGCTCATCAACGGCGGGAGTGCTTTGAACCTCTTCTTCGCCGGAGCCCTAAAGGAGCTGGGCCTCGGGATAGGAGATCTCACACCCTCTGACTCCTTCTAGGGTGTAGTACCTAGCAGGGCATCCAAACCGCTTGGAGAGATCACCCTACCAGTACAGTTCGGCACGGCTAGCAACTACCACGTCGAACACATCAAATTCTACGTCGCCAACTTCAACACCGCCTACCACGCCATACTTGGTCGGCCAGCTTTGGCCAAGTTCATGGTCATACCGCACTACGCCTATTTGGTGCTGAAGATGCCTTCGCCTATAGGAGTCCTGGCCCTGCGGGCCAACCTCTCCATCGCCTATGCCTGCGAGACAGAGAGTCTCACCCTCGCCGAAGCCACCGACCTCTCCATCCAGATGGCCAGTGTGGTCACCAACGCCAAGACGGTGCCCGTCGATGACTTGGAGATCCCATCGCTAGAGCCTCCTCGCGCCTCCGCCAAGTCCAAAGAAACCAAGGAGCTCGGCCTCGGCCTCGACGACCCCTCCAAGACCGTGAAGATTGGGGCTCACCTCGACCCCAAATAGGAAAGCACGCTCGTCTCCTTCCTACGTGCCAATGCCGATGTGTTTGCTTGGAAACCTACAGACATGCCGGGGGTACCACGGGAGAAGATCGAGCACTCCTTGAATGTCTCGCCGACCGCTAAACCGATCAAGCAGAAACTCCGACGATTCACGCCAGACAAGAAGGAGGCTATTAGGGTAGAAATAAGATGGCTCTTAGTTGCCGGATTTATAAAGGAAGTGTATCATCCTGAGTGGTTAGCAAACCCTGTTCTCGTTCAAAAAAAGAATAAAGAATGGAGAATGTGTGTTGATTACACTGATCTCAACAAACACTGCCCTAAAGACCCCTTCGGTCTGCCTCGGATAGATGAGGTTGTAGACTCCACCGCTGGCTACGAACTGCTCTCCTT